CGCCGGGGCTCGCCGCCCTCCTCCCAGGGCTCCGGCCGCCCCCCCTCTCGCGGGGGGCGCGGGGGGGGGGCAGCCGGAGGCTTTTTTGCCTGGGGCGGCAAAAAAGCCAGAGACGGCCCTGTAGGTGAGGTAATAGTTCTTATTGCGACAGGTCTGGAGAAGGTAAGCAGAATGTCTGAGCTAACTATAAGGTGGGGGACTGATTGTTACACATAAGGGTTTCACACATGCTATCGGAGGGCACTTAAAAATCTAAGCCTAACACTTAATATTAAGTGGTCTCCTATCTCCCCTGGCAGGCTTGAAAGCTTTTCCCTTCCACTAACAGACGTTGGTCCAGTGAAAGATATTTCCTTATCCACCTTTGTCTTTCTCATGTCCGGGGACAAGCACAGCTCCAACAACACTGCAAAAAATGTTCATAGATTCGAAGGCCAGAAGGGACCACTGTGAGTGCCTGCATAACACAGGCCAGGGAGCTGCCTAAAATAATTCCTGGTGCTCGAATAGAGTCTAGCCCTCACTATAACTAGTAATCTCTTAAAAAAGAAAAAAGTGATGGGTGAACCTCAGTGTTTGGAAGTTTGCTTTGATTAATACATTATAAGGCCAGATGGGACCATTAGATGTAGTCTGACTTGTGTAACACAGGCTACAGGCGTCATCCAGTTACTCCTGTATTGAACCCAATAACTTGTGTTTGACTGAAGCGTGTCTTCCATATAGGCATCTGGTTTTGATTTGAAGTAGGGCTGCCAATTAATCGCAGTTAACGCCTGCGATTAAATGAAAGCAAAATTAACATGTTAATTTTTTAATGTGTTAATTGCATACCTCTGGGTGGGGAGGGAGGTATCAGGGGTGGGGGGCTGAAGCCCCAGCCCGGAGCTTTGGAGGCAGTGGAGCAAGAGGCTGAAACTCCGAGCCAGGCTGGAGCCCTGAGGGAGGTGAAACCCCAGCCCAGAGCCTATATTTAAGAATATAGAAAGCATCCAAAAATATTTAAATAAGTGGTACTTTATTATTGTTTAACAGTGCAATTAAAACTGTGATTAATTATGATTTATTTTTTTTTAATCTCATGATTCATCATGATTCATTTTTTTTAATCACTTGACTGCTCTAATTTGAAGTCATCAAGAGATGGCGAATCCACTATTTCTCTTGGCAGTGTGTCTTGGTTGTTCTAGTTGTTAACCATCCTCACTGATTTTTTTTTTTAAATTTGCCTTTATTTTAACTTGAATTTGTTTGGCTTTAACTTCCAGCCACTGGTTCTTGTTATGATATACATCATATATATGTTTGTTTGCACTACCTCTCGAGTCTGCCTGACTGGGCTGCAAATCTCCTGAGGATCAGCTTTTCCATGAGATTTTTTGTACTTTTTGCTTCTCGCCAGCCAAGGAACCCTTTTGAGAATAGCCTTCTTCAGAGTATTCATCACTACTTCTTCTGATCCCATTTGGAATGTAAAAGTGTAGCGATGCAACGAAAATACAGCATTACGGGAATTTTTAAGTTTTGAGAAGTCTTTCAAATAGCCAGCTTGGTTGTATTTAGGGTTTGGTTTCAATTTTGGTCAAACGTGGATAGTTCTTAAATATCTAAGCTGGTTCTTCCATGCCTATTAATATTGAATCTGGTTTTGGCTCACACAACCTGTGGAGACTTAATCACTCCCTCCATCTCCAAGGCTAGCTGGAACAATGGGAAGGGTTGACTTTTTGTCCATGCCAGCCCATGTTCTAAAAGGGAAGATGGACCTTTCACCTCTGCTTCGTGGCTACCCATTATATCAACCCTGTTTCCATCACTGGCTCGTTTACTAAACATAGCGACCACTTTACAAGCATCTCAGCCTTCTCTACTGCACAATTAAACAAAAATGATCACATTGTGAATATTATTTTTTTTATTTTTTGTAGGTCCAAACAGTGATCGAGGAGCTTCTTTCAGTAAAATGTGAAACTGAGCCACTGTCTGCTAAATTCCTTCTCCGGAATGGATTTGAGGAAGGTAATGCATTAAAAAAAAATTAGGTGACACTTACTGTAATAGTGGTTTTCTCCTTATGTACTAAACAAGACCTTTGCATGGTGCAGGGGGTATTATACTATTAATGGTTTTACACATTTATTTTCCTCCTGTGTGTGTGTGTTATGGTGAGGGAGTTTAGGGAGGAATGAATTGTTGAATTGATATTAAAAACAGTATTACTAATATGTTAATTACTGATTCTTCTCCTCCCCCGCAATCTGTTTTATTACACAAACATAAGCAGGGGCATAGGGATAGTTTACTATGGGACATAAAGTGCCATATTATGGAAGTTCCACTGTCATGTGAAGTTATCCAGTACCATATTTTCAAAGGTAGGTATGTGTGCATGCCTGTTTCTAATGTAGTCGGGATATTAGATGGGGAGGACTCTGAGTTACTACAGAGAATTCCTTCCCAGGTGTTTGCCTGGTGGGTCTTGCCCACATGCTCAGGGTCTAACTCATCACCAGATTTGGAGTCAGGAAGGAATTTCCCCTTGGGTCAGATTGGCAGAGACCCTTGGGATTTTTTTGCCTTCCTCTGCAGCATGGGGCCCTGGTCACTTGCAGGTTTAAACTAGTGTAAATGGTGAATTCTCTGTAACTTGAAGTCTTTAAACCATGATTTGAGGACTTCAGTAACTCCGCCAGAGGTTAGGGATCTATTTCAGGAATGGGTGGGTGAGATTGTGTGGCCCGCAATGTGCAGCAGGTCAGACTAGATCAGGGGTTCTCAAACTGGGGGTTGGGACCCCTCAGGGGTTCACAAGATTCTTACATGGGGGGTCGCGAGCTGTCATCCTCCACTCCAAACCCCTCTTTGTCTCCAGCATTTATAATGGTGTTAAATATATAAAAAGTGTTTTTAATGTATAGGGAGGGGTCTCACTCACAGGCTTTCTATGTGAAAGGGGTCACCAGGACAAAAGTTTGAGAACCACTGGACTAGATGATCCCGATGGTCCCTTCTGGCCTTAAACTCTACGAGTCTATGAGCTACCTCTTGTATTAATTTATAATAAATGGGCCCAAAGGGTCAAAGGTGTTAAGATGACCCAGTCGCTGTCCAATATTAAATAGTTTTAAAGAATGTTTGGGGTTTGGTATTCAGATAAATCAGCCTGCTTAGTACCATGGCAAACACAGCATTAATTGTTTTAACCCTTTATTAAAGATACAGAAAAGAAAAAGCATTTGAAATTTAAAGTATTAAATATGGCTTTTGTTTTAACAACATCCCTTCAACTGGAGAAAGGCTTTAAAAGGAAAATGCCCTGTTTGAGAGTCCCTTAGGTGGCATTGCAGATGGTAATAACTGTCCTTTTGGGGAAAAGAGAAGAAATTAATTGAAATGGGCTGGAGCTGTTGTTGTTCTAGCCCGATCCCCTTTCCTGGAAGACAAAACAAGAAGACACACACAAACAAGGAAAGAAAAGAACAGCAAAGATAGAAAACGCTGCCTCTGTCTCTGGTGTTGACTTTCACTTGCAACCTCACCGCTAAAGAAACACCAGCATACCACATGGTTTTATCAGCCACCCTGAGACCTGCATACCAGCATTGGGCTGCTTAGGGCATTGCTCTTAACTGTCTCTCTGGTCGCAGGCTCACAGCACTGTTGCAAAATATACAGTTCTGGCTGGCTAAGCAAGACTCTTATTAAACAGAAGGCAAAAGGAGAGAGATAGGAAGGAGAAGAAATAAAGGGGGAAGGAAAAGGACGCACAAAGGGGTGTGGGGGTGACAGTCTCACATTCCAGGTGGTATTTGGGATTTAGCCAGAGTTGGTTGAGGTGGTGATTTGGGTCCCTATCTCTGGCCTGGTCTAGTCAGGAAGTTTCTCAGGATTAGGACGAAGAAGGCACAATCGTGTCACGCTGGATCCTGGGGTCCCAGGAGACGGGGGACAGTCATGATGGCGAAGCTCACTCCTACCCATTCTCTTGTCTTTCAGTCACTCAGCCTTCCCATCCATCAGTTCACCCCCCCCCCCCCAAAATCTTTTTGAAGCCCCCAAAAGGGGAGTGGTGTGTGGAATAGCCCAACACCTCATTATTTTGTCCACCAATTAGGCCTAAATGCCAAAACACCAATTTTGGGCCACTGAATTCCGATCCCACGCTTCTCTTGCACCCCAGGCATGATCTTAACAAGTCCTTGAGAGCTATCAGTAGGCATTTCTTGTATAGACTGTCAGTCTGTCTCTCTTCTGCACCATTCCCCATCAGTATTTTTAGGTTATTGTGACATTTTATGAACTTTCACTCACTCTTCTCAGTTGAGCTCACAATGAGGGTAAATATGGAGCTCCAGTTATCACAACATGCTTGATCTGCATCTGTAATTCACTTGTCAAGGTGTGTTACATGTGACTCTCTGTGCCTAATCCACTGGGGAGGTGTGTCTGGTGCTCCCCTCACCTACAACGACTGGATCTTTAGATCAAGCTGCAGGGAGTTATGCTTTCAGCTGTCAAGATCCCTGGTTCAGTTTGTCATGGTAGCCGTTGTACTCGTGTATCTAAAGTGTGTGCACCTCCTTGGTATGCTTCATTGGGCACACGTGTGTGCAAAAGCTTGCTTTGCAAGTGTGCATCATTTATTTGTTCAGGCAAATTTAGGCACAAGATTGCATTCACCAGACCTTCGAGTTTCCAGCCCCTCCATGGATTTCTGAATCCTTTTCAAACATCTAACCTCTTTCATTTTTACCACTGTCAGGCCAGAGAGACTCTGCCACTGAGGGACATGTTGCCAGCTGGACAGAACCCTTTTGTGGAAGGTTCAGTATTCACAGGCCAAAACATCTTGTAAAAATGTCTCCATCTACTTTACCAAGATACAACCTCACTGAGTACACACATGTAAGTAGCCTCCCTGAGTAGGGCAAAACATGGAGGAAAGTACCGAGAACCAAATAACGTCATAAAATTAGAGATGGACAAGACATATTAGGAAATTGAGGCCATCTGCCCTTCTCCCCAAACCCACACAAGATTGTGTTTTAGGGATATATTCCTGGGCCATGAAGGCGCAAACCTTATTTATCCATAAACTCTATTGCTTATTAAAGGTGATAGATTGACAGGCTTGGAAACTGATGTGTTCTGGAGATAACCAGAGGATGTGCCATGGTCAGTGCCAGTCCAAGCTACTCCATGCTATTTCATGAATGTGCTGCAACCCTGCCTAGAGAGACTGCCTCTACTAATGTAATGCTTAATGTAATGCACCCATAGAACTCATAGTACGTTATAAAGATAGGTAAGCATCATCCTCACTATGCAGATTAGGGCACAAAGAATTTAAGTGACTTGCAGAAGGTCACATAAGGAGGCAGTGGTAGAGCTGGGAATAGAATTCAGGTCATTTGATTCCCAGTCTAGTGATCTCTCCCTTTTTGGCACCATACTAAATAGAGCCTTAGGGTGAGACTCAGAAGATCAGGGATCTATTCCCACCTCTGCCACTAGCCTGCTGGATGATCTTGGACAAATCACTTCTCTGTGCCTCATTTTCCCCATCTGTAAAATGGGGATAATGATGCTGACCTCCTTGGTAGAATGCTATATAAAAGCTGGGCGGTTGTATTATTATTATTATTATTATGATGGTCTCTGAGGCGTGGGAAGGGACAATTCATTCTCAATGCCCATTTTAGTCTTTTTTATGTTGGAGATGCCAGCAGCAGTGCCAATTACTATCAGTCAAGATAGTGGGCATTACAGTGTAAACTTCTTTTCACGAGAAATCAGACTAAAAGCACCAACTCATTTCACATAAGTCAAGAAACAGACCTCAGCTGGTAATAACCGTAATGTATTGTTTTCCTTCCCCTTTCTCAGGTGTGCTTTGCCTATAAAGGTTACATGAGCGATACCCTTTATGTTTCGGTGTCCTATATCAACACCTTTCTAAATACAGTGAAGAAGAACCTTACTTGCCTGTGGAGTCTGAATGAGACCAGCCCAGAAAGGTACCCAGTACAAGGATACATGTGGTATAGTTTCAGCAAGTGGCTTTCTCCACACTAAGAGAACAAACCTGTATGCTGTAGACATACCAGCATAGGGGCAGCACCTCAGCTGGTGTAAAATTTCATAGCCCCATGGAAGTCAATAGAGCTATGCATATTTAATCCATCTGAACATCTGGCCTGTTGTGTTCATCAGTAAAACCACACACACTGAGTACTGGCAATAGAACTCAGCACTGTCCCCTCCAAGGCCTTTACCCCTTGAAATAGAGAACAGCCACGCGGAGTAGCAAAGCTTTTATCTTCCTCGTGGGGCTACCACTGGAGACTGACCAGTCACAAGCCATTTAACCAGTATGTTACACATGGACATGGTAATCGTAATAATACCCCTCCCTGAAGACCTCTAGGGGTGTGTCTACACTGCAGTTAAAAACTCATGGCTGACCCACGTCAGCCGGCTTGGGCTTGTGGGGCTAGGGCTGCAGGGCTATTTAACTATCTGGGTTCGTGCTGGAGCTCTGGGACCCTGCCAGGAGGGAGGGTCCCAGACCTGACCCTGAATGTCTACACTGCCGTTAAATAGTCCTGTGACCCCCAGCCCCGTGAGCCCAAGCACAGGCCAGCCGTGGGTGTTTAACTGCAGAGTGGACATCCTCTTGGTGCCTTGACAATGAACGCCACAAGCCAATTGCTGTAACAGGAAAGACTCCGAGTAGTGGCTGCACAACACTTAATCTCAGAAATAGTTAGGAACTTACGGCATTTCTTCTTGACCCCCATCTGTCAGCCAGCGTATTCCTGGAAACACACATAGGAGTGATAGCCCTTGTGATTTTATCCTAACAAATGTACCTGCAGACGCCATTCTTAGGTATGTCTAATTATTTTTGATGCTTATTAAGCTATTTCCCTCCATACTTTCCTGCATCATTGAGTTCAACAAAGTATTTAGAATGCATGCTGCTGCTACTCCGCCTTAACCCAGCACTCTGTCCTGGATGATTGGATTGTTGGAGTCAATGTACTACGTTAATGCTGAGTTGTACAGGGCTAGCCACTGTGGGCATATCCAACCTGGCTGGAGGTCTGCGTTGGAACTGATTATTGGCATGTGTCCTATCTCAGCGTGCGCTATATCCTGTGCCAGGCCAGGGATGTGTTCTTCAGGGATCTGTCTTTATGTTGGGGCAAACAAAAGTCCTTTCCAGGAACTCAGCAAGGATATTTCTTGGACGTAATGCTCACCCTTATTTAGTCTAAAGTTATTTCATTGGCTGTTCTTGGAGATAGGATACCATCCTAGGTCGACAAGTGGTCTAGTTTGGTATGACGTATTCTGTTGTGCTCGTTAGCTTTTATAATGGTTAAGGGTTGAATCTGGCTGTTAATTTAATATGTCCTCTTTGCGTTTAGTAGAGACAAGATTCTTCCCCAGATTTCCTTTTTGCACTAGCTGAGAGGACTGGCCCTAGGTGAATATTGCCATATGCATTAAGAGCATTTGACATCTGCTATACACCCACAACCCCTCAGGATCCTTTGCATAGTTGCAACAGTGCTTCCAAGGTGGTGGTGGGGATTGCAACAGCTGGCATGAAGGTTTAAGGCATGGGCAAGTGACATGTAGCACGACAAGTGAAGATACATTTGCCATGAAATGCAGCTGTGGGCCATTCTTTCTCTGTGTATCTGCAGGGTAAGAGAAAAGCTGATTAACGGAGGCTTTTAGTCAAGTTCAGCAACAATCGGTTTCTGTTTCTCAAGGCAGAGAGGTGTGAGCAAATTGCATGGCTGTGGTGTTGCATTTATTTTTGGAAATCCATGATTTACTAGGTACAGCCCTTGAGTACCTGGCAAGGTGATAATGCAGCTGTCTGTGTTGCAGAGGCTTGGAATTCTAGCATTAAAGCACTCTGGGCATACGGGAGGAGCTTGGGATCTCCCTGCTGCATGCCAAACAGGCCCAGATATTTTTAGGATTGTTTAAAACAATTTGAACATGAGGAGGCCCAGTCTTTGTGTAACCCATTGGTGAGTGTGCGTAACAGGTCCCTCTCTGTGTTGATCCACAGAGAAGACAAGGCTGTTGAAAGCCCGCGCTGGGGAAGCCATGATGCTTTAACTCATGCTGTAGTGACTTATAGCTCTGGAGATCCCTGGTTCAATTCTGAGTGTGTCAGCCGAGATGGCGGCCATCATATTAGCCATCTTGGGTATAAGAATTAGGCAGCTGCCTAGCTCACCTATCCCTTAAACAGGCTATTAGTGAAATGCACTCTGAATGCCTTTCAGCTGGAAGTTCACGTGTGCTGATCTCTGGAGGGGCTGTGTGAATGGCTCTGAATCCCTCCGGGACCTTGAAGCCAACTCACCGGTGTTTGTGCATCAGATCGACATGCTGATCCCTGAGAGAGAGGAGGAGACATCTAGCTGGTTTTACCTTGATGAAATTATCGTCTCAGATAGAAACGTAGCTGGTAATTGAATCTCTTTCTCTTTGTTGCTGTTGTTCTAGGCACTACCTTCCCTACAAAATATCAATACATGAGGTGCTTTTAGAGAGAGTGTTTTTTCATTTAAAAAATACAAAGAAAAAAAAAAACGCCCTGCATTTTTATGAAAACAAAGTTTATTGAAAAACCATCAACTTAAATTTATTTTGTTTTCATTGAAAACGTCTACAGTAGAACCTCAGAGTTATGAACACCGGGGTTACGAACTGACCAGTTACCCCACACCTCATTTGGAACCGGAAGTACGCAATCAGGCAGCAGCAGAGAGAGAAAATAAATAAATAAATAAATAAATAAGCAAATACAGTGCAGTACTGTGTTAAATGTAAAACTATTCATAAAATAAAGGGAAAGCAGCATTTTTCTTCTCAATCGTAAAGTTTCAAAGCTGTATTAAGTCAATATTCAGTTGTAAACTTTTGAAAGAACAACCCTAATGTTTTGTTCAGAGTTACAAATATTTCAGAGTTACGAACAACCTCCATTCCCAAGGTGTTTGCAACTCTGAGGTTCTACCGTATCAGAAATGGTGGTTGACCCTTTTTAGCTCCCTGAAAACACTGGGTTTTCAGTAAATGAAACAATTCACTGACATTTTTGATAAAAAGTTGCCAACGTTATGAGAAATATTGAAGAAACACCAACAAGTGGGTCCGTTTCCAATTTTGAAACGGAAACGACTTTGAAGTTTTGAAATAAAAAAACCAGTGACTATCTCTAATGAATAATAATATTTTCCTTTCAGTTTTTCAAAGGGATCCCAGACCAGCTCGTCCGGGTGGAAATGTTATCCAAGAAGTGTCTGTGGTGGGGTCTCCCTCAACCTACAACGTGTCCTTTCTGGTGGCTGGCTGTGGCAGCAATCTCCCTCTTCTGTCACCGAGGTAGGAATTGGAGGCAGGTTATCCCACATGTGCCTAGTATAGATTCTCATACCTTCCTCTGGAGCAGCTGGTGCTGGCTGTGCCAGAGCCAGGATGCTGGACTAGATCTGACCCAGTCTGGCAATTCCTGTGTTGCTGTTCCTAGGAATTCTTATTCTTTCACTCGCAAGTGCTTGATTTTTTTTTTTTGTGTGTGTTCATTTTCCATCAGACCCTCTGCTAGAAGGTCTCATCTTGCCTCAGCCATTCTTGAAGGGGACCAGACAGAGGTCCGTGCCACCAGAAATCCCGACTTGTTAACAGTAAGGCAGGGCCCTGGACTAAACAGAACAGAGAGAACTATAAGCTTTTAGATTTAAAAAAAAAAGTCCTGAATTTCTAATCCCAAACTTTGGGAGAATTTGGTTCCGGACTGGAATGTTGTGCCTGGTTTATCTCCATGCTGAACTGGAGCACAGAGTCCGAACAGCCTGGAACTTTGAGGGAGTTTAGATTTGGATTTTGTGATTTGGGCTCATTCTCTTAAAAACCAGCCAAACACACTCCACCCCATCCCACCCTACATACACAACAAAGAACTCCTCCATGACCTCCCAGGTCCAGTTCACCCTGGTGTCCTATCTAGCAGTGCAGTTTGTTTTCACAGCTCATAGGGAGGGGCTGTTCTTATTTATGTTTTTAGTGTTATTTTTTAAGGCTAGCACTCTGTGTGTGATTATGAATCAGCTTATTATTATTATTTGTATTTCCAGTAGCAGCCAGGGGCCCCAGCTGAGATCAGGGTCCCATTGTGGTAGGTGCTATACACACACATACGTCTCTGCCCCAAAGAGTTTTGTCTACTTAGATCACAGACAGACAAAGAAAGGAGCACCTGCAACTCTTACTGAAATCTATGGCAGCTGCATGTGCTCAGCACCTCTGAAAAATCAGACTCATGGATTTTAAAGAAATGCAACCCAAGTCAGCAAGGAGGAAAAAATAGAGAAATGGAAACAATCCAGTTTATATTTTAAGGGGGACTCCCAAGACCTTAGCTGCTCAGTGTAAGTAGTTCCTGCTACAGTCCTTCAAAGTTCAAGGCTCTCAGGTGATTTGGTAACATGGTTAAAACACAGTACAGCCCTGTCTGCAATGCAAAACCAGCCAAGCTTCCTAGCATGGTAGATAGGTACAGCGTAGCGGTGACTCCACTTGTAAGTAGATCTCCCCTCACACCAGTGGTTCTCAAACTTTTGTACTGGTGACCCCTTTCACATAGCAAGCCTCTGAGTGTGACCTTATAAATTAAAACACTTTTTAATAAATTTAACACCATTCTAAATGCTGGAGGCAAAGCGCGGTTTGGGGTGGAGGCTGACAGCTCGCGACCCCCCATGTAATAACCTTGCGACCCCCTGAGGGGTCCCTACCTCCAGTTTGAGAACCCCTGCCTTACGCTCTCACTGGTTTTACAGAGAGAAAGAGAAGTTCCATATCTATGTGGCATGGACTAAGCTGAGTGGATAAATTCAGCTTTGTCTGAATTCTGTGGTTTTTTAAAAAAATATATAAACAGGAGAGTAGTGGATAGGCACCAGGGAGGAGATTTTACTTTTGTACGCGAGCTGTTTGGTGGAATATTGGTGTCCATTTCTGGTGTCAACGTTTTTAAAAAGCATGTTAAAAAACTGGAAAGGGGGCAGAGAAGAGCTACAAAAATGATTCGAGGACTGGAGAAAATGCCTTATAATGAGAGACGTAAAGAGCTCAATCGATTTATTTGTCAAAAAGAAGATTAAGAGGTGACTTGATTAGTGTCTAAGTACTGACACAGGGAGACTCTACGGGAGTAGTAAAGAATTCTTTAATCTAGGGGAGAAAGGCATTACAGGAACCAATGCCTGGAAGATAAAGTCAGACAAATTCAAATTTAATCTAACACGCAATTTTAACTGTGAGGATTGCTAACCATTGGAACAAACTATGAAGAAAGGTGGTAGATTCTCCAGTCCTGATGTCTTCATATCTAGACCTTCTGGAAGATGGTCTTTAGCCAAACACAAGTTATTGGGCTCAATACAGGGGCAACTGGGGAAAATTCTTTGGCCTGTGTTGTACAGGAGGTCAGGCTAGATCATCTAATGAAGTGATTGTCAACCAGGGGTATGTGTACCCCTGAGGGTACCTATAGGTATTCTAAGGTGTACTCAACTCATCTGGATATTTGCCTAGTTTTACTACAGGCTACATAAAAAGCACTAGCGAAGTCAGTACAAACTAAAATTTCCTACAGACAGTGACTTGTTTATACTGCTTTATGTACTATACACTGAAATGTAAGTACAATATTTATATTCCAATTGATTAATTTTATAAGTATATGGTAAAAAAGAGAACATAAGCAATTTTTCAGTAATAGTGTGCTATGACACTTTTGTATTTTATGTCTGATTTTGTAAGCAAGTAGTTTTTAAGTGAGGTGAAACTTGGGGGTACACAAGACAAATCAGACTCCTGAAAGGGGTACAGTAGACTGAAAAGATTGAGAGCCACTGATCTAATTGTCCCTTCTGGCCTTAAAATCTATGAATTAGAATAAACGTGTTTAATTAGGGAATTATATAGCTGATATTCATACAAGTCACCACATGGTGACACTCTTGTGCCACCAAGGACATTTGTTTTTCTCCAACCACACTTAAAGTGGTGAAGTACAAATTTTTAAAAACAATCTTAAAGTTGCAGGCAAATCAGTCTGTATTGTAAGCAATATAGATAACTTGTCCTTGCCATCATTAGATGCATTGAGACGCCGAGCAGGTTTGTGAAAGCTACTTGAGTAAATATCACTCCAACCTTTTTTAATTATCCCTTTGGCATAACAAACGTGTTTAGCTTGTAAGCTCATTGGATCAGGGATTGTCCTTTTGTTCTATTTGTACAGCGCCTGGCACAATGGGGTCCAGGTCCAGGGGCTTCTAAGTTCTACCATAATACTACTACTAACAAGAAGAAGACAAGATTATAACTGTGAAGCATCAAACAATTGTTTTTTAAGCATCACCTCCATTGTCCCCCGCTGCAGATGATGCACGTACCATGACAGTGTGAACTTGGAATAGCGGTGTCTGTCAGGGCTGTGAGTGGTCCCTGCCTAGGTCCTTAAACACTTCCAAAGGACGCTGCTGATCTAAACTCCATGGGGTGCATACACATCACTTGTGGCATGGATCCTTGCAGGCAGCCATCTTGAAGAACAACAGTTACAATGATAAGGCGCCATGTTGCTTTTCAAAGCACATCTGAATCACTGTCGGCTTCCTTGTTTGGAGATAATCTTTATGAAAGTGTCTGATATTGCTTTGCTCTTCTGTAGCTCCTCCGACCAGGGGATCTCAAAGCACTGTACAAACATTGACTAAAACTAGGCAGGATGATGACCTTGTGGTTAAAACTTAGGGCTGGGGGTGGGCCTGTCAGTTAGAGCCCTAACCTGGGACGTGAAAGGCATGCAGTTAAGTCCCCTCCTCACCAAAGCATTGGTCAAGACATTGAGGAAGTCAATTAGTGTATGCCCACAGTCAAGCTGAAGATGTAATTCCAGGTAGGATAAATGTACTCATGCTAACTCAGACAGAGCCAGCGTGCTAAAAATAGCAGTGTAGCCCCCAAAGTGCCTGAGCAGGTACAGAGGGTCGAGGGTGGGATTGTACTCAGGGCAGCTACCCCATCCTACAACCTGTGCCACTGTGGCTACGCTGCTATTTTTAGCATGTTAGCTTGATCAAAGCTAGTGTGCGTATGTCTACCTTAGCTGGAAATTACATCTCCAGCACCAGGGCAGACTCACCCTTCGTTCCCATCAGCAAATGGGGATAGTAGCACTAATCTACCTCAGAAGGGGTCTTCGGAGGATAAACATGTTTAAGTTTGTCAGGTGCTGGGATACTGTGGTGATGAGAGTTGTATAAGTACCTAAGATAGACAAGAGTTGGGAGACCTGAGTTGTCCGTTCCTAGTTCTTCTATAGCCGCCTTCTATGACCTCAGGTAAGTCATATCCCTTCTCTGTGCCCATTGTCCTACATTGGGAATGATAATACAGAAAGGTTATTGGGAGCCTTAGTTTGTTACTCTTCGAAGTTCAGTAGCCCAAAGAGTTTGACAAAGTATTACTGAAGCTCCGAGGATGGGCTCCTGGAGCGCAGACATTACATCACTTTGAAAATGCTGCCGTATCGCAGTGCCAAGTGTTGAAATGCTGAGGTTCAGTTCAGCAGACTCAGACTGGAACAGGCACAAAAGCTATTTGGCCAGCCTTTGTGAGGGGCTTTCTGGTTCATTTCACGGGCACATCACACCATTCCACCTAGCTCTGTATGGAGAACAGTTGCTGGTACAAGATATTGCAATCAGCTGAATTTTGCTTGCAATCTCCCACTCCTGCTGATTGCATTGGAGTGGAGTTGTGCATCGCGCACTGGAGCTGCTGACTCAGATGGTTCAATTCTCTCCAGCAGGGGAGCTTTGCCCTCGGAGGGCTCAGAAGAGGATCACCTGACTGTGTCCACGGAAGGTGCAAATGTCAGTCTGACAGTTCAGAGACTGCAAGCTGCATCCCCACCCATTGGCGGGACTTTCCGGATCCTGCTTCCCAATACAGTGATATCAGGTAAAGGGAGGGTGAAACTTTCCTTTTCTGGGAGCCAAAGGAAGATGAGCTGGGACATCACCCCGGAAACATTCCTGCAAAGGCAGGGCTGTCAGACTGTCCCCTTTGTGGGGGCAGCTGCTAGTTCTTCACATTTATCTGACCCCCAAAGTGGGGAGGGATATTTTTGGATGACAGCTTTAGGTACTGATCCAAAACCCAACTGAGAAGAATGGAGAGACACCCACTGACTTCTATGGGGTTTAGCTCAGACCCTCAGAGGGTTTTTCACACTAAGGTATGTTATAGGACAGTGATACCTCTCTAAAGCATTAGATCCTATGGATGTGCATGTAATGCCCCCCTCGCTGTTATACCTTCCCAGGTTTGGTCCAGGCGGACCTGTGGCTGCACAGCTGTTGATATCCCTGTTTTATAATGAACTTCCCAGGTGTCCCGGTGCACGTCTCTTCCCATCACCTCCGTGAGCTCCTGCAAAGCAACTCAGATAACTCCACAGGCCAGTACCTCAACGCCAGTGATTTCACTGTGACCAAGGACGTGAGCACTTGTTACCAAAATGTATGGACACTGACCTGGAACTCCATGACTGGTGACTTGCCCATTGTTATTGATGTACGATGATCTTTTCTTTTAATGCAATATTCATAGAATATCAGGGATGGAAGGGACCTCAGGAGGTCATCTAGTCCAAACTCGTGCTCAAAGCAGGACCAATCCCCAACTATTTTTTTTGCCCCAGATCCCTAAATGGCCCCCTTAAGAATTGAACTCACAACCCTGGGTTTAGCAGGCCAATGCGCAAACCACTGAGCTATCCCTCCCCCGCAATTGTTGCTGCATCCTTAAATCTGCCAGTCAGTATGTCTGTGTTGACAGGCTTCATTTCCACAAAGGTTTTATTCACCTAGATCTCTCAGGAGACTCCAGCAAAGTGCCTGACAAAGGCTATTATTGAGAGCAATAACTTAGGCCTGGTCCACACTAACCCCCCACTTCGAACTAAGGTACACACATTCAGCTACGTTAATAACGTACCTGAATTCGAAGTACCTTAGTTCGAACTTACCACGGGTCCAGACGCGGCAGGCAGGCTCCCCCGTCGACGCCGCGTACTCCTCTCGCCGAGCTGGAGTACCAGCGTCGACGGCGAGCACTTCCGGGATCGATTTATCGCGTCTAGACAAGACGCGATAAATCGATCCCAGAAGATCGATTGCTTACCGCCGGACCCGGAGGTAAGTGTAGACCTACCCTTAGTCAGTTCTAGAGTGGTTAGATGATTAAGAAAAGGAACAGCAGTTAGAGTCAAAGAGATAAAAATATGAAGCCACCAACCCTCATGCTTTGAAACATAAGCCCGAGGTCAGGAAGTAACTCCCCCGCGTGCTACAGTAGTGCACAAGAAGGCCCCATTGACATGGGGATTGGACTTGTGCTAGCCACAGTCATGTTTAAACATAGTTGCTACTAGCAGACTTCTAGCATGGTTCTCTGACCAAGGGGGATAGGGTTTTTGTCTCTGAGAATTATACTATGGAGTAACCCACCAGGGTTTTATTACCTGATTCTCATGTGGTTCTCAGACAAAAGTCCATGTTCATGCTGGTCAGAGAAACCCTCCCCAATAGAGGTGATGTCTCAGTTTGGACAGGGACTAGGTGCATTTTAGACCAACCTCTGAAGGATGTGGCATTACCCCCTGTCAGAGACAGCATATTAGACTGAGCTGGAGCATTGGTATATAGGGAATCCTGTGTACGTTTCTTTGCCAATGTAAAGCCATAGCTAGGGAGGCGGGGTGGTCTGGTGCTGAAGACACGGGAGTGGGAGATGGAAAAACTGGGTTCAATTCTGTGCTTCAGGGCAGACTCCCTTCATGACCTGAAACCATGTTTCTTAATCTTTTTGCCTGTTTCCCACCTGTAAAATGGAGATTGCAACATTGCGTTGTGGGATGCATACACTAAGATTGTGAGGGGCTTGGATGTTGTGCCAATGGGGCCATATAAGCAGATACAGAGAATGTTCCCATTCATTCATTGTAGCCCTTAGTGTAAACCTTAGCTATGTGAGTTTGAGTTGCTTATGAAATGATACACAACGTGTATAAGAAAAAAAAGTTTTTATAAAGCTGAGAAAAAATTGATTCTTCATTCTTTCACGCCATGCTAGGTCTCTGCTGAAAACCTCACAGGACTTAACCCAACCATTGCAGCTCGTGTGGTTTATGATGGCGGCGTATTTATTGGACCAATATTTGGGGACATGCTAGCTACCGCCAATAACCACACGCAGGTAGGTCACCAACTGACCACAGTTCCCATAGACTCATTGTGACTTGCTGTCTGCCAGACAGATCCTGTCACCCTACACTTGCTGAACTGTGCTGCACTCCATGAGAAAGGCATTTCAATCAATGAGACTCAGTACAGATTAAGATACTACTAACCACGAGTAAGGGAGGGGGATTTTTCCTTGTGAGGCAGGGGCTTAGAGCTAACGATGTGTCTATGCCTGTGCCGTTAAACCAAACTGATACTGGGTTCTATAGTGATAACTTCCAAACACTGTAGCAACACTATATTAAACTGCAGTTTTTGGACCATTATTTAGCAGGGTTTGACCTAGTGAGTGGGTGTGACGTTCCCCTGGTGTTATCTGGACCGGTGATCTGCTAGGTCACTCCAATCCTCAACTCTGGGAGCCAATTTTACCATGCTCTGCCGTGAGAACCCCCACTCCTGGGCTATTCACGCACAGCCTCTAGCATGTAAACTGCTCCCAGCAACGTGAGTGAGCACTTTTGGCCAGCCGCTGCTTGGATTATGCAACTAGCTGATATCTCCGGTCCCAGACACAACCCTAGGAATCTCTGTCTTGCAGTGTCCAGTTATGCCCGCTGGACGCTGCAAGCTTATATGAGTTCATCAATTTAACAAAGAAATTGATTTGAACCAGGCTTGTTATCCCACGGGGAGTCTCTGACATGCTTCAAACCAAACGCACTGCTTCAGGTAGAATAAACAAACAAATTTATTAACTACAAAAGATAGATTTTAAGTGATTATAAGTCAAAGCATAACAAGTCAGATTCGGTCAAATGAAATAAAAGCAAAACACATTCTAAGCTGATCTTAACACTTTCAGTGCCCTTACAAACTTAGATGCTTCTCACCACAGGCTGGCTGGCTGCCCTTCAGCTAGGCTCTCCCCTTTGATCAGCGCTTTAGGCGCTTGGTGGTGGTGTCTGTAGATGGAGGTGGAAGAGAGAGCGAGCATGACAAACATCTCTCCCTTTTATCATGTCTTTTCTTCCCTCTTGGCTTTGCCCCCTCCCCCCCCCGCCTTTAGAGTCAGGTGAGCATTACCTCATGGGAGTCCCAAACTGACCAAGGGAAGGGAGTGACTCACTCGAGAGTCCAACAGTTCCTTTGTTGCTGCCTAGGCCAGTGTCCTTTGTTCTTGTGAGGCTGGGCTGGGTTTGTCCCATACATGCCCTGATGAGGTGTGAACTGCCCCTCTGCTCTTGAAGTGTTCTGGCTGGGCTTGTTTTAAGCCATGAGGACACATTTTCATCCTCATAACTATATACATGAAATTACAACCTATAACATTACTATAACAACAATGCTCAGTGCACCATGAGCCTTCCGAAGACACCCGCCATGACAAACTTTGCATTGGATACCACAGAATCATATTATAAGGATGAACATGGGGGTGCCGGGTGTTCCCCCGAGGTACAGAGCATCACAGTGGGGTCCTAGCCTGGGACTTAAGAGACCCATGTTCAGTCCTCTGCTCTTCAAGAAACTTCCTGTGTGACCTTGCTCAAGTCACTTAGTCTCACAATGCCTCTGTTCCCAATCTGTAAAACAGGGACAATAGCACTCCCCTCCCTCACAGGAGCATTGTAGGAATAAATACATTAAAGCTTGTGAGGTTTTTTGGATGCTGCAGTGCTTGGGGCCATGGATATACCTAGTGAGATAGACAGAACATTATGGTTTTCTTACACATGGGAGAAATTTCCTCACTCAGGTTTGTTGTTCATTTGAAGCACTGTCTTGGCTTGATACCAATAGCAAATACCAAAATTCCCCTCTGATTTTAAAGTGTGGTTATAGTGTTAAAAAAAAAAAAGGGCCCGTAGAAGTAGCACATGCCAGTTCTTAGCTGCTTCCTGTCTGTTTTTCACAGAATATCAGGGTTGGAAGGGACCATAGGAGGTCATCTAGTCCAACCCCCTGCTCAAAGCAGGACCAATCCCCAACTATTTTTTGGTCCCAGATCCCTAAATTGCCCCCTCAAGGATTGAGCTCACAACCCTGGGGTTAGCAGGCTAATGCTCAAACCACTGAGCTATCCTCCCTTTGACACACTCTACTTTTGCTATCAGCACGGTCCTGTTAGCCCCGGGGGACCAGCAGGCTGGTGGGAGAAGCACCTTGTGCTTCACCAGTCCAGTTCAGAATGCAGACACTTTTTCACGGGGGG